CTCCTCCTCCTCTCCACTCCTCCTCCCCCTCAACAGTTGTTCTCGCCGTCGTTCAGCGTCACGCTCTGACGTTGGTGCCGTCTGGTGTCCTACGGTCGGGGCTGGACAGACCTCCTACCCTGACACGTCGATTAGTGAATTGGCCGTTTTCGGTTCGCGGGAGGGCGTCGCGGCCGTCATTTCTGCGGGTCCAGGTCCATCGGTTTCGGTCCCAGGCCGTTTTCACTAAGGGGAGGTCTACTAAAGGGAGGTTTGTCCAGCGCCGATACGGGCTCATGTCCAATCGCCGCGTTCGGGTGTTCCCTCAGATTCAGTATGATAGTGGGCGTGTCAGTGATTAGTTGTACACCGAGGTTGCCTGCAATCACCCGCAAGTCACTCGACCGTGATATGATTCACCTGTGTTGGATGTGCAGTTGCTCCATATGTTCTCCCCATCCATGTTCTAGCCCGTCCTTGTGATTGTAGTTGGGTGATGATTGTGTGTGCATGGGGTGATTGGTGCGCGCTGCTATTTGAAGCGCATGTACTATTGACCTTGGCCTTCTTACCAGAGCTGGACGTCTCGATGTGCGAGCATCGCGCAATTCATTTGAAAGCAGGGCAGAGTTCCGTTCCTGTGCGTTGGGCTTGGCGCCTCGGCTATTTTTTTTCGTTGTTGTGTTGCGTTTATGTTGGGATGTTGCCTGTTTGCCATGAGTGTCCGCGTATTGCATACTCTTGGACATCTGGATGCATGGCCACATGCGAGTGCAGGCGCATGATGACTTGTGCAAGCGCCCGAGCAACATTGGCTTCAACAACGTATGTTCACATTCCGACGCCAAAGTGTAGTTAGCGGCACAGCTCTTTGAGAACAGGTTGCGGCCTACTACAGGCAGCTGGCCCGTACCTCCGTTCGAGTTAAAATGCCTTCTGGATTGGCTGTTGCCACCGCCTTTGCACGCTAACGCTCTGAAACTCGCTAGAAGGCTTTGACGACCCTTCCAATCCCTCCCCAGGCCTCCACTACAGGCCCTTCGTTGACTGTCGGTATCCCTGAGCCCCCGCTTCCCAAGGTAGTTCAACGAACCGTTTTTTCTTTCTTGTGCCATCGAAGGATCTTCTGTCTTGTCTTCCTGGGCGTCCAGAGCCCAATCTGTCCTAACCGCCTCCCTACTTCACACTCCTACCAACTTCTCCCGAACGGCCTGTATCTGACCTGGGCACTGAGAGAACGCCCACCTGGTGTCGCAGTGCGACGTGCGTCTCGCTGGATGCGTTCGCTTGTTTCTTGACGTCGAGTAGCTTCCCCGCTGGTGTCCACTCGGAATGTGGTGCCGTGCGCACGTGGAGTGCCCCTGACGGCTTTCACCAGAGGGCGCTTTGCTAACGTTAAGTCGGGCTTGTCCCCCTACAGGGGGATATCCAACGAAAAATTAAAAAAAAATACACCAAAAACACTTCAAAATGGCAAACAAATACCCAAAAAATAGTCCCTGGACTATTTTGGGACTATTTTTTGAATCTTTGTGGGGTATGTTTTATTCTTCGTCGAAAATCCCCCTGTAGGGGGACAGGCCCGACTTGCTGCTAACGGGTGTTCTGCGCATCCTGTTCTCCCGACCCTCGATTGCTCGTTCTCTCCGTGGCCCTCCTGCCCCCACGGCCTCGGGCCTCGGGGCGACTCTGAAAAGGGGGATCGCCTGGAGCTCGATGGCCGCGCGGCCTCGCCGCGCAGAAGGCCATGGCAGGGCCTGACCCCCGAGCCAGTGCCGCGGGCTCGTGTCGGGGGTGGACAGCCCTCCTACCCTGACGCGTCGATTAAGGAATTGGCCGTTTTCGGCTCGCGAGGGGGCGTCGCGGCCGTCTTTTGGTTGCGGGTCCAGGTCCGTCGGGTTCGGTCCCAGGCCGTTTTCACCAAGGGGGAGGTCTACTGAAGGGAGGTTTGTCCACCGCCGATCGTGGGGGCTCGTGGAGACGGGGGGCGCGCAGGGCCACGGGCGAGGGGGCCGAAAGGCCTGGCGAGGCCTCGGGCTATACGCCGAGGCAGTGCCCTCCGGGTGGCCCGGTCTGGCCGCGAGAGGCCCCCCCACTCCTCTTGCTCCTCCTCCTCCTCCTCCTCCTCCTCCTACCTCCCCCATCCTTCTCCTCCTTCTCCCTCCTCCTCCTCCTCCTCCTCCTCCTCCTCCTCCTCCTCCTCCTCCTCCTCCTCCTCCTCCTCCTCCTCCTGGACAACGCCAGCGAGGAGTTCTGGGGGCACACGGGGGGCAGGTCGTCCACTGATGCTGCCTTCGACCTGGCCCTCGAGAAGGAGACGGCCCACCTCACGGGCGACCACGCCCTGATCGTGCTGCTGGACATGCTCAAGTGCTACGAGATGGTTCGGCACCAGGCGCTGCTCGATGAGTGCAGGGCCAACCAGTATCCCATGAGGCTGGCGTACATGCTCGTGCTGCTCTACCAGCAGGAGCGCACGATCTTCGCTTACAACTCTTTCTCGGAGGCGAAGCAGGCCTGCCAGGGCATCCTGGCTGGGTGCACTCATGCCACGACGCTGCTGATGGTACTGTTGACACGTGCTCTACGCATGACTGCTCGGATCGCGCCTGAGGTCCGACCACGTGACTTGGTGGACGACGTGGCACTGTCCTGGACGGGTGCCGATGCCCGAGGTGCCCGCATGCTGGCGTCCGCCACGCGAGTGTTCTGCGAGGCGGTCAAACCACTCGGTCTTCTGCTGCAGCTGGACAAGTCTGGGCACCTGGCAGTCACGCGGCAGTCGAAGTATCATTTTCGCCAGTTTGCCAAGATGCTCAAGATTGGAGGCAAGCGTCACATGCGCTACCTGGGCCACGACCTCGCCGCCAGTGCTGCCGTGCGCAATGTCCAGAAGGACCGCCTCGAGAAGATGGATGCTCGGCGTCCTCGGCTGAAGGCGTTGCAGAAGGGTGCTGGACGTTGGCGCTCGGCGCGCCTTTGGACTACGGGCGCGCTGCCGTCGGTCGGCCACGGAGCGGCGGTCAGCGGCATCAACGACGGCGAGCTGAAGCAGATGCGCAGTGTTGCTGGCAGTTTCTGTGGCTTCAGTGGCAGCGGCTCTCTTACTCTGTACCTGGCGGTTCAGAAGCAGCGCAATTTCGACCCGATCTACCATGCCACCTGCAGCCTGTTGCAGCAGTACTCTGCCTGGGTGTGGGCAGCGTGCGGCTCTCTCGCCAGGTTGCAGAGGGCCTGGATGGCGCTGAAGGACCAGTTCGAGGCTGCTCGCGGCGCGGTCACTTGGGCCAGCGCTCGAGGTCCGATCTCGGCCCTCTGGCTGACTCTGCGCAGGGTCGGGTGGGACATGGCCAGTGCCACGGTCCGCGTGGACGACACGGGCGTTGGCATCGACTTGCTCAGGGTTAGTCCCAGCGAAGTGCTGCACTACATGTACCTGAGCCTCGAGCGCTGGCAAAGCCATCGTATTTTGGACCACCTGCCTGGTGCCCCTGCTCGGCAGCCTGACGGTAGCCGTCGGCATATCTGGATGCGAGCCCTCCGTCGTGGTCATCCGCAGAGGCTTTCTAGCGGGTTGCGAGGTGCGTTGGCCAAGCTCCAGTCAGATGGCACGTGGACGCCCGCTCGTAGGTGCGAGGCGGGTTGCACGGACAATGCTGTATGTGGTTTCTGCGGCCACTCGCCTGCGGACCTCGAGCACGAGATGTTCTTCTGCTCGGTGCACGAGGCGCAGGAGGGCGAGGAGCAGGGCCCATACCCTGACGACGTGCTGCAGGTCAGGAAAGACATCTGGGAGCAGGGCCAGACGGGTGCCGGCGCCGAGTGGGACCTCGCCACGGTCGACCTGCTCTACGCGCTGCCGATGCGCCCTGAGTTTCGGCCTCCTGAGCCCAGCCTGCTGCCTGTCAAAGAGTGGGGGGCCCGCGATGCCCCGTGGCCGTCCAAAGTTTTCGGAGACGGGTCTTCTTTCGATAGTGATTTCCCTGAGGCCAGGCGGTGTGGTTGGGCGGTGGTGGCCCTCACGCCGAATCTTTTGCCGTTCAAGGCTATCTTTGGAGGCCTCGGAGGCCCTATTCAGACCGTGCCCAGGGCCGAAAGGTTTGCCGCTCTCCGAGGCCTCGAATTGGCGTCCAGGCCGTCTGTGTTTGTCACGGATCACTTAGCTCTGGCGCAAGAAGGGGAGTTGTGGTTTGGCAGGCATGCTCGACCTACAGCACCTCATGCTAGCGCCTGGAGGCAACTGCACGCTCTGTACGAAAGTGATCTGGATCGTTTGCCCCGGTTTTCCTGGACTCGTGCTCACAGGTCTGTGGATGAGGGCATTGCGTCGCGCTGTTCCTCGGGCGAACCCTTGGAGAATTTGTTCGGTAATATGTGGGCCGATTGTTTCGCGAAGATGGCCGCGCTTGAGCTGTCGGGCTCATCTTCGGTCATCCGTGCACATAAGTTTGAGATGGAGCAGGCCAAGCAGCGGATGCGTTGTCTGGCGTTCGCTGCCCATAGAGTGGCCTCTTTGGCGTCGCCCGTCGTCTATCGGCCGCTACCGCCCGCCCCTAGAGCCCCACGTCGACGAAAGCCGACCACCCACGCGTTTGCCCTGTTTCCTGCGGGCGCTATTGGGTGCAAGGCTTGTTGGCGCCAGGCCTCGACCCCGTCTTCCTTGAAGTCCCTCGCCTCCCGCTTGTGTGATCCCCAGGTTGTCGGCCCTGGACACCTGATCCAGGTTTGTGATCGAGTGCTGATTTGCACGCGCTGTGGGGCCCACACAGTGCGACCGCAGAGGCTCTCAGTGGGCCTCACGCGAGCCTGCCTTGTCAAGGATGAGGGAGTTCGGTCGGGAGCGGGGGTGTGTGGGACGCGGGGGGAGAGAGTCCAGAGAATGTTGCAACAGGCCCAGCGTGGCCGCCACCCCAAGACGGGAGAGGCGATCGGCCCGCTGCTCCTAGCCCCGATTGCCCCTGAGGCCGCGTTGCGCTCGCTGGCTAACGTCGGGACGGGGGTGGCGGACGGGGGGGACGGTC